GTATCCGAGCGATACACGAAGGGTGATTGGGAGACCATGGGCCAGGTACCTGTTGAAGATGTGGGAGCGCCGGCTGTTGTTGTGGATTGAGGTCGGTTTGTAATTGCAGCTGTAGGGGCATACATTGTAGCTGACATTTCTTAGTGAAGAGAACCATAGTTAAGAGGTGAGAGCTTACTTGTACTAAAACCTGGTGTAGTATTCGCTGTGGTTGGTATGTTGTCCGTAAAAGACTGGTTATCGGATTTAGGTCGACGATCATCATGGCATAAATGCCCTATCTCCCTCTTGATACTAAAGAAAACACTGAGCTCGAAAAGGGAGAAATCATAAGCACAGTAACGTACCATCTCTGACAGGGCCTTCCTTCATCGCAAGTCATATGGCTCCTTCTGCAATATAAACAGGCATGATTGACCTTTCTTCTTCTTACTGTCTTCCTCTTCCGTGGTGCACTTCCGAACTCCTCTATGCCTGGATCATCATCCACCGATACTGAGCCTGATCTCGTAGCGGCCATTTCTTCGGCAAAAGAGCTTCCAGCGCTAACATTCGCCAAATGGCTGGACATCGAAGAACCAGCTTCCTGCTGATTTTTGGTCGTGTGCTCTGAGTGATTCAAGTCAAATGTCGAAGATGATTGGGGAATCAACCTCGGCAGGATGGGGAGAGGTGTGTAATATTAATAATAGTTGTCCGGTCGGACCGTGCACAATGTCCTCGATGTGACAGTTACTGATGTCACACCTTGCCTCGTAAAAAAGCACATACATGTACAGTCTTGTAGCCAGTATAAAAAGCTAGTAGCTACTGTACAATGATACTCTGTGACACTCAAATAGGGAGTTATACAGACATACAGCATGAGAGAACCGCAATGGTACAAATGTACCCAAGCAAAGGCCCTAGTCTAATGAAGAGTCGACGTGAGAAGGGAGTGACTACTTATCAATCGCTGTTGCAGCGAGGAAGGAGCAAGAGAACCACAAAATTACAGCAAAAACTGATATCGCAAATGAGCGGTGGAAGGTACCCAAGCTGAGATCGCGCGCGGACCTGGAAATATTATAACACAACCCGCAGTGGAGCAGTCACCGAAGGGAATATGGGCGCGCAGAAAGCGATAGCATATCATATAACTAAAAATTTCAAGATGGAAAAAGTAGAGAGATGAAGGGAAATCATAGAAACATTATAAACAGTGTATACATTTTGGTGGAGGCCGATTATGATTGCAATCGCACCATACATTTTTCGTTGAGCATATGCAGAACGTGGGACTGGAATTATGCACCTGACGCAGGGTACCCTAAATGAGATTGGTAGCTCGTATGACTCGCATTTGTCGCTTGCGGTGTGAACTGTGGGGTCTGCTGATATTGGTGCGCTGGCGTTGAGAGAGACTGAGACGAAGAGGGTTGCGCAAATTGTTGAGTGGGCTGATAGCCTTGTGTGGCTGTAGCATGGACCTCTCCTTGAACGGCAGGAGCATACGGTAACGGCAACGGTGGGAACGTCGTGTTCACTGGTGTGCCTGTCCTACTCGCGCTGACGCTCGAGGCACGGCTGGTAGGTTTTGATGAAGAACCCGCTCCTCGTACTTTCCTCCCTTCTCTCTCTGTACCTCCGACACGACCTGTCGAAGGATATGCGGTGCTAAGCACAGATCCCACAGTCCCGGTCCCAACATTCAAGCCTTTGTTCTTTCCGACGCTTTTATCTCCCCGCTGAGCCAGACATTCATGCTTTCCGCTCGCAAGCCACTGTAATCCGATTACGCCATGATCTCCGGAATGCTGATAATGGTATCGAAGACCATTCATATTCTTGTACCGACGAGGGCAGTCGCCAACGCCACAAGCGTAGGGCTTCAACTGGCGTTCAGCTTCAGCTTCAATTGCGAGAAGCTCTGAAGGGGGAAGAGAAGACAGGGTTGAACGAAGGGAAGTGAGCGAATCAGATGTACTATTAGAAGCGCTCGCGGGAGCATTTGCCGCGTTGGCAATGGGAGTGAGGGCATTGATGAGAGAAGACGAAGAAGCATTAGGATTTGGAATGCGGTTTTGGGAGGCACCTTGACCGTATGAGTTGGACCGGTTAAGAGACGTTCCTTCGCCGTCCTGGTAAGTACCCTCGGTGTACCCGGAAGTGGCGGTTGTAGGGCTGCTCAAGTTCAGAGCCGAACTAAGGGCTGTGCTTAATGACGACGGTGTGGGAGTAAAGTTATTGGTTCCAGTAAAATGGGAACCGGTCGGAGTACCAACTGGAGAGCTTAAAGCAGAACTTGGATTGCTACCTCCAGGAGCAGCAGCGGCGGTGACTCCAGTATTCACGCTTAAAGCGTGAGTGAACGGAGAACTCAGCAAAGGTGTTATTGGGGTGGCCATCCCACTCCTAGGTGTGTTAGCTCCGGATGAAACAGCTGACGATGTCGAATTTGTGTTTGCAGGATCCTCTTGTTGAGTTTGCTGCTGCTGTTGTTGTTTCCTTTTCCGTTCCAGAATAGCTTGGACATGTTCCATGTCTTTAGGGGGAGCGAAATTGCATGAACCATGCGTGATATGATATTTGAGACCTTAAAGAATAGGAGGTTGGCCTCCAAAGTAAAGAAAAGTAGAAGACGCGAAACATACCATTGGCCTGCTTATAACTCTTGTTGCAATTAGGCTTGGGGCACTTAAATGGCTTGCTCTGTAGCAACCCACTGCCTCCTCCGCCGGTGGGTGGTCGACCAATCCTCGGAGCCGGTTTGGCTGTGTCAACAGGAGCACCTGGAGCACCAGGTGAATTTGTTGAGGCTACCCCAGGGCTTGTATCGCTAGGGTTGTGAGAATATTGACCTTTGCCTTTTGTATTTTGAGCTTTAGAAGGCGACGTCTTAGTCACGGCTTTCTCTTTCTTTGCCTCCTTCTGCACGTCATAGGATGGCTGAGGTAACTCCTTGTCTTCTATGTCAATGTCAAATTCGGCATCTTCATCCTCAGGTCCGTCTCCATGAGACTGAGGACTTGAAGGAGTGGAAAACAGCATCGCAGGCTGAACACAACCCATGTCCGTTTCAGAGCCCATGGACTCTGCTTCAGGCGCCGAAGGGAAATTATACCCATAAGAGTTCTGGTAATGGAAATTTCCGCCAAATCCACCCATGCCCATCCCGATGTTACCCATGTACGTCATGTCGACACCACCAGGCGTCCCGTGACCATGAGCCCAAGCTCCAGCTCCGCCTGGAGGTGGTGGCCCAGTTATGAAGGGAGAATGAACGGCAGGCCGGAAGGAAGATGAAGGAAAGCCTGGAAGATTCAATGCCAAGTTTGGGCGATGAGTGAGGTTAACTTCATTCGAAGTGTTTTGGGAGCTTTGGATCGAGGTAGGAACGCTAGTGGTGACATACAAGGAGCTTTGTCGAGGACTAGGGGGCGATGAGGAGGGTAATGACTTTTGACCATGTACACCTGGATATCCCCCTGGATAGGCCGCAGCCAAACTATTGTGAACTAGGCCACCAGGTGATGAATAGGTAGATAGCGGCGTGGCTAGCAGAGTTTCCGGAGGAGATGGCGTTGAAGTGGGTGAAGAAGGCATCGAAGAAGCCGCAGATGCAGTGGAAGAAGGAGGAGGCATTTCGAGTTCCATGTCGTCAGGATCGACAGGACCTCCACCCTGATGCATTGTTTGCTGTTGATTTTGGAGCTGATTAGACGGCATAGGTTGTGGAACACCACCAGCATCGATGACTTGGGGTTCAAATGGGACTGATATGCGAGCCTGGGGAGCACCGCCACCTGGTTGGTCGATACACACAACATGGACGTCTTCAAAATGCTCCAGTAGTGCGTGAAGGTCCGTGAGATGGATGCCACAGCAAGTATAATTCCTGCAAAGTTCATCCTGAAACTCGAATAGCCTAAGTGCATTGGAAACTGCTGGGTCACGATGGCTGAAACATACAGGTAAGCGAGCTGGTCAGGAACAAATTAGAGGGGCCACTCACACATCCATTGGACTTCCCATAGTGACTGAGCCCACGGAGCCTGGGTAGCCCAGTAGTCTACTATTGTAGGAACCTGCAACACTACGGTAGCTCATTGGGGAGCCCAAGAAGTGCCGTGTGTATGAAGCAGGGTTAAACGAACCACCATCGCCAGAAGTATACGAGCCGGAGGCCATGTGTATATCCTGCGCATTGTTATAGGGATTCCTGCCATGGCCACCGAGAGATATCGGTTGAGTTGCGGTTGTAGCCATGAAGATTAAAGGAAAGATAGAGATATAGAGATAGGAGATGGGATTGCGGATGGAAGTAGCGAAGTAAGGTTGATTGGTTATTATGCATCTTGACATCAACAAATTAGTAAGTTAACACACGGAAAAGGCCGATCCGGATCCCGGATCCGGTGCACTGCGGCAGTACTGCGGCACTGTTTTGATGGCTGCAAATTCCTCAAAAACAAGGTTGTTGTAATTGCATACTAATTCTTGTCGATATATCATCCTAACTTTCGCATTTGCAAGTAAAGCTCCCTTCTCGCATTTGGCAGATGTACTCTCGCTGAAAGCACCCTTCTCATACTCCTTTCTCGCGTTCAACTTATCCCGGACACGGAAAGTATATCGGCTTTCACATTCTCTCTGTCGCCGAAAGACCGAATCATAGGAATTTGTAGCGCGTCCCTCGGATGCGAGTGATGTCCTTCAAAGTTGTTGATCTTCAATCTGGCAAGTTCAAAAGCTCAAGCGAAGAAAGCCAATCTGTCACCAGTTCTGCAATCTCTATAGAAAGTATGAGACCGTTTCGCTATATACCTTCAATGGTGTGTCGGTGTGGTTAAATTACATGGGCCTTCGACGATCCACTGCTTCATTCATTCGTAACCCTTCATCAGTTCCCGGAATCAATTAGGGGTGCTGTATATGATATCATCCTCTTGGACGGGGCAAGAACGGGCTTCTATATTGAAGTACAGAACTACAAAGTTACTTTATCAAACTTGTACGAGGCTTCCTTAGCTCAGTCGGTAGAGCGCGAGTCTCATATGATGATCCTGATTACAGGAGCAATCTCGAGGTCGCAAGTTCGAGCCTTGCAGGGAGCATATTCTTCTTTTTTTGATATTATATATACTGTATATTGAAGTGTGACGTAAACGAGTCAAAGCTGTAAATATCAGCAAAGCCGCAATTTTTTATTACCAATACACGTCGCCCAATTCCGTCAGCTCACAAATTTAGAGTTCAACGACACAGGGCTAGAGTTGATATAGCAAGCTGATAGATAGACCTTTATCCCAAATGTTACAGCCTTTTCAAACGAGTCAAGTCATTCTTCTGAAGAACGCAGGATGTAACAAGAGCAAGGTAAAAAGTACTCTACATCCTACAAGATGTCGGTATAGCTAGAAGCTAATATTGAGCTCATAGTAGGCTAGTAGCACTTACGGTCAGCTCACTAGAATGAAATCGAGTCTGAAGCATATGATACCACGGATCCGGTAACAATAAGGGGTCCCTCAAAATGAAGAAGACATCCGAAATGGAAAATGTAAGTGCTCTATAATGTCAATCACCAAGTATGCCAGCTGTCCTTGGCCAACAACTCAACTTCAACTGGAGCTTCTAGAAAATAAGTATCATGTCGCACCTCTATAGAAATGTTCACTCCAGTCAGGTTCTGTTTGCATGCCTGCAAACAGCTGACCGACAAGACGTTCAACTTTGTTGACGCGCGCCACAGGGATTTGCTCTTGTGGTGATTTTTTGAGAAGATAGGCACCGAGATACGTGATAGTATGATATCAACTGATATTTCACTGAACCTTGAGGTTAAAGTCTGGTATTTCACGGAATTCCGGCTGAGCGTTATCGCAATATGCCAAGGGACAGCTTGCATACCAACGAGGCCAACCAAGAATCTTCCTTGAATTGAACAAGTACCTCTTCGCAAAATAACTAAATTGTTAAAATCCTCACCGTTAAATTATCGTCTGAGAACAGCTGAGAACATATGAAAAGGAAAAGGCAAGTCCAGGGATCCTTGACCTTCTTCCCTGACCTTTCGGAAACTCCCAGAACTTTCTGCGCCGTTGGCTGGAACGTCTACACATGCATCCCACATGCATACCCCGACGATCATTCGTTTATTCAATTTTCCGTTCATCCTTTTAGCCTCTCACTCACCAGTGTGAATGCGGTGCGTCCGCATTTGCGTCGCAAACTCGGCTAAGCACTCAAAAAATACTCAGGCATTTCTGCAGCAAGGAAAAAAACCACCGTCGGTGTAGGTGTGAAAAAAAACGCAAAGCCAGGTGAGTCTGACAAGATCTGACACTTCTTCGCGAATTGACTTGAACAGGTAAAACAAAAATACATGCGATACATTTGATATACATGAACTGAAAGCATTACGGATGTGCATGAGCAAGAAATAGAGCGAAAATGTCATTGAACAAACTAATCTACTAAGATGACCGACAACGCAGTATTGCACACACACGGGCAGTAATTCGCGTTCGGCTTCAATTGATTGAATAATGGATATGACCATACGGGGATGAAAATCTCGAAGGAGCACAGGCTACCCAAAAATGGTAAAAGATCTGCGCTGATCTGCGTGAGCATCACCGACGGAAAGCGGTCGAGGGAGAAGTGCCCTGAAGGCCGGTCGGTGATGTACCTGAAATGGCAGATCCTGGAGAGATAGGCGGGGAGGGAGGTGGTGATGAGCTCGAGGAATTCGAATTTGGTCGAGATGGAGGGGGAAGAGAGCGAATGTCAGATTGCTCGTACCGTGAAGGAAGAGTGTGAGTGGAGTAACGGTCATGAAAATCCGATACCGGCTGAAGGCGGTAAGGAGAAAGTGTCCGATGGGTGTAGAACGGATTCGAACAGTCATCTTCCTCCATGAGTTCATCTTCTTCAGGTATCGACGACTCGGCATCTGATTCTTCGGAGACTTCAGCCATGCTCGGAGCAGATGATTCATGTGTGAGAAAACCGAAGGGAACGTTCCGTTTTCCCGAGCCTCGTGTCTCGTATGAGGGAGGATACATGGGAACGTCAGGACGTTGTACTAAATAATCATTATCTGTGGGAGATCTGGCACTGTACTGTGTAGTCGTAGGAGGCGACCGACTGGTGCGACGTTTGCGTCTACGAGAAGAGGCGGTCACATTATTAGAGTCCTCTTTTCCTTGCGACCGATCTCTCGAAGGAGTCAAATGGTTTCTGTAATGTCTGCGCATATTCGAGTTGACATTAAATTCTCGACCGCACTTGGGAAAAGGGCATCGGAAGGCTATAGTCGGAAATGAGACTATGAGCACAGATGAGTTAAAGGCCGTGGCTTACGAGTAGCACCTGTATGAGTGTTCATGTGGATACGTAGGCTACTCGGGCGGTTGAATCTTTTGTGGCAATTGTTACATACGTGCTTTTTGTCGTCGCCGTCGTCTGACACTTCATCTGAAGAACAAGTGAGTTGGTCTGGATCTGACGGCAGTGATGAGGGAATATGTGGATAACGCGGCCTCGCAGCAGCGTGAGTATATTCAGTTGAGGAGGGTCTATTGGTTGATCCAGACGAAGAGCCAATATTGACGCGAAGTAATGGGGTAGAGCCAACTGAACGATCTAACGCTCTGTTCGGACCCAGAATGGCAGACGGACGATTCGGTAATGTGGCGCTGGACGCGATGTGCTGGAGGGATGAAGATGAAGGGTCTGAGCGTAGCACGTCAAAAGAATATATCTGGGGTTTAGTTCCCGAGTTGCTCATGCGGTGTTCCCGATGAAGATGGGGTATAGTGGACGAATGTTGTGAAAGCTGTGAGAAGGGCTGTTATGAGAAAGGTAGGACAAGTGTGTATGTAGGTTATGCCACTGACAAGTGCATTGGATGTGGCAGCAGATAATCTCAATCGATGATCAGTAGTGATTCTGAGGAGATGCTCTGTTACGGAGGACAAGGGTGAGGACAAGGAGAACTGAGGCGCGGAGGTAGACTAACCAGGAAACATTTCATGGATACTGGGAAGAGATATGGACAAGGGGGAAGCAGACGTAGCAGCCATTATTGATGAAAGGGAGAGATGAACGTAGGAGACGGAGAGTGTGAATTGTGGGTGGAATAGTTATAAAGGAACTCTTTATAGCATTTGTGAATTGGCGGTTATACAAAAAGAGACCGATGGCCCGAACTTTAAGGCACTTGGCGCTCTCATTTCCTCCGGATCGTGATCTAATTATGGGCTTTTTATTCCGAGGGAATAGAAAACACGTTTTATAGAAACTACGTACATTTCGCTCTTCTGGCAAATTGGAAGATACAAAGCCACTGAAACGTAAATAATAGACTGCTCAGCAGCTATTGCTCCGAGGCTCTGTAAACTTATAAAGGATCGGCGTGAAAGAGGCTACGACTGGAAAAAAGCTAACGTTTTGAACCGCCGGAGCGCCTTCACTCCACGCCTCATGTTCTTGGATTGTAAAAAAAAAGAAGTCGATCTGCTATTTCCCTCCAATGTACTTACTGTGCATGCAACACTGGATGCTTCACAAGGTTCGTAAACATCGCTGTGGAAAGTGATTTGCATTCATTCAATTCAATTATTGCTTACTTGTTATGGAAATTACCAAAAAAGGAAATAGACGACAAGGATTTGCGATATGTTGAGTCACACTGGCGCACTGGCCAAGCCTAGCCGACGGTGAATCGAACCTCTTGTGGACACAGAACAATACACGCGGAACTTCATGGTGTTCATGCACTTGACCATCGGTCCATCGCAGTGGCCAAGAAAAAACCATCACACTGCAGCGGTAAATCGGTTGATATTATCCAACGACTTGTTCAAAGCTATAGGTTTCCTCCCGTTTAGCCCATGAAATTCATGGTTGCTGCCCATCACGATTTCGATGTTCAAATATTCATGCTGATTTACCCTGAAGATAATGGATTTCCCTGAATTTATCTTTGGATAACAAACCGCCGAGAATGCAGGTGTGATCGCCTTCTGTTCCCTTCTTTATTGGATTGCCAGGGGCCTTTTTGTCACGATCTCAAGCCGTAGCTAGTCATAAAATCCGCACTAGTTACCTACCTCGTTCTCAACTTCTGGTGTCACTTGAACTTTGCATGATAAAAAATTCTGCAGCGATAATACTAGTACTAGTTATTTGTCGCTTCCACTAAAGTTTGTTGACCCGAAGTCTTCGCTTAAGAGAGACGGACAAAGAGAGAAGAAATTTCCCAACGATGAAATAGTGGCGGTCAATTGAGAACATGACCTCATGCCTATCATGACTTGTGCTGGCATTTGTGTGATGAAGAAGAGCCAAGGGTTACATACATGTCAGGGCTTGCTTTGGTTCCACATTAAAGTGGATCATGCTGTAGATGAGTTTGACGAACGATATGCATCCTTCTCTTCTCCATTATCTCGGGACGGCAATCCTGACAGTAAACTTAGCCCGCTCCTGCCGATCAGCCTAAACGGTTTTCCTTGGACTACGCGGACCAATATCCTTCCACACAGAAACCCCGGCGTATAGAGCTGGGGTAGACTCCAACCTATTCGAGCATCACCGGGAGCAAATCGCGAAGGCACAGTTCGCCTTACTCCCGACTCGGAAAGCTAATCCTTTATATCATCAGTTTCGGACGAAGACGGGGATACTCAATGCAATACATAACCTGGTGCAGTTGAACAGCTTCACGAAACAAGTCTCTTTCTAGAAGCACTACTTCATAAGTTACAGAGCTCGTATTCAACGCAAACAACATAACGCAGAAGGGAGGCACACAGGCAGGGATAAACAGCTTCTAAGCACTGATAACCTTAGGATGACCTAGGCTGGCTCAGGATTAAACAGGGTAAGCCCATGCCTCTGCCATGAGGAACAGGATTAGTTGCGAACCTCGATCGGCGTCTTACTGTGGCAAAGGCGGTAGCATTAATAGGAGATCTCTTTCCAATGGAGCTTTCGCGGCCCAAAAAGGATAAGCGCTTTGATTTTTGAATTCAGGAACCCGAGGATTGTGCGCCACGTATTAGCTCGTAGAGCGACCTTACTCTTCAGCAAATTCAAAGTCCAAGTC